TTAATCAGACCCATTTGTAGTTTTTCCTAGTTTGCTCTTGTTTGCATTCTCATTAGTTTTGCATCCAAACAAGGGCACCTCCAGCTAGTTTTCTTTTGCCGTGTCGTATACATATATTAAAACTGTACTCGCTCAAGCACTGATCCTTGTGGACTGCCACTCGCCACATTCGTCCATCCAGACACTTCCTCCCGGACAATAACTCCATGTCTCTTTCTGCCAAGAATGTCTTGATCAGCAGTAACGCTTTCCCTTTTATTCCTTCCTGCCAGCTTTATTTTTCAGTCTCTTGTGAGGTAATGAATCGAAAAACAAAAAGAGACACAATACCGTGACTGGAACGATACACAAATAACCCGCACATAGAAGGGAGGAGCTTGCGACTACGTTTCGGTCCAACTTGGACCATTTACAAAGTCGTAAATGGTATACAGAGTCTTGAACGATTCCTTACTGGGGTATCGGAACGCTATCCGTAGGTTTGCCAGACGCCCATGTGTGTGTGTGTGTGTGTGTGTGTGTGTGTGTGTGTGTGTGTGTGTGTGTGTGTGTGTGTGTGTGTGTGTGTGTGTGTGTGTGTGTGTGTGTGTGTTTATGTGTGTGTGTGTGTATGTACTCACCTAATTGTGGTTGCAGGGGTTTATTCATAGCTCTTGGCTCCGCCTCTTCAATGGTCACTACTCGGTCCACTCTTTCCTGGTTTCAAGAGCATCATGGTATCTCTTAAGAACATAAAAAGGAAGGAACACTGCAGTAGGCTTACTGGCCCATGCGAGGCAGGTCCAAGTCACCCACTGACCCAAGGCTAGTCAGGGCAGGTCACACCCAGTTAAGGAAGGAGCTCGGCATCAGACCCAACAACACAAGCTAGTCAGGTCCAACTCACACCCACCCACACCCACTCATGGATTTATCTAACCTATTTTTAAAACTACACAACGTCTTAGCTTATATGACGATAGTCGGGAGTTTGTTCCACTCATCCACAACTCTATTACCAAACCACTGCTTTCCTATATCCTTCCTGAATCTGAATTTTTCCAGCTGAAAACCATTGCTGCGAGTCCTGTCTTGTCTAGATATTTTTAACACGCTATTTACATCCCCTTTATTTATTCCTGTTTTCCATTTATACACCTCAATCATATCCTCCCTAATTCTACGCCTTCCCAGAGAGTGCAGATTCAGGGCCTCAGTCTGTCCTCAGAGGGAAGATTTCTGATACATGGGATCAACTTTGTCATCCTCCTCTGTACGTTTTCCAGAGCATTTATATCCATTCTGTAATACGGTGACCAGAACTGAGCAGCATAGTCTAAATGAGGCCTAACTAAGGATGTATAGAGTTGAAGAACAACCTGAGGACTTCTATTATTTATTCTTCTTGATATGAAGCCAAGGATTCTGTTCGCTTTATTGCGAACACTAATGCACTGTTGTCTTGGTTTCAGATTACTGCTAACCAGAACTCCTAAATCCTTTTCGCAATCCGTAATATTAAGATCTACATTATTTAGTTTATGTGTATGGAACCTACCTCTACTACATTACCCTACTGATTGTTCCACTTCCTGACAACTCTAAAGCTGAAGAAATATTTCCTAACATCCCTGTTACTCATATCCTCCCATGACCTCATTGGAAGCAATATAAGTAGTAATAGCATATTGATCACGATAAAGAATACGATTTTGTTTATAAGGATTTCAGGCTTTTGATGGAGTACTTCACAAAATACTGTTAAGAAAAGGACAGCTCATGGTATTGGAGGAAAAGGCCTATCATAAACTTAAACCTGTCAAGCAGCACATCCCGCGGCACTATTCCATTATTCAGTTACAAGACCTACATGTTTCATGACATATACTGGTAGAACAGCATATCCATGGTATAGTTCTAGGATAATTATACTCTCATCACCTGGTCGAAACTAGTGTTTTACAACCCACCTTGTCCAGCTACCAGGTCTGGAGTACGTGCAGCCCCGCGGGAACACTGACGACGGGTGATGAAGACGGCAGCTGTGACAACAAGGAGGAAGACTCCAACAACTCCCAAGAAAACTCCCAGGAGTGGAGACACTGCCCCAGCAGCAGACTCCTCGGGCTCTGGCTGTATGTTGGACACTCCAGAGACTGTCCCCACGACACGGGAAGACACTACATGTTAATCATTTGCTGTGGTTTTAGTATCACTACGACTATTTGCTAAATATCTAAGAATAATTAGATTTATTTCGGACCATACCACGGGTGGGGCTAGAACCCGCGATCAGAGAGTCTCAAAAACTCCAGACCGTCGCGTTAGCCACTGGACCAGCTAGCCACAATTGAGACTCTCTGATCGCGGATTCTATCCCCGCCCGTGGTATGGTTTGTTTGCAATCGTGTCATTACGATTTCGTGAGTCATGTATTTCGGGTTTTTATGAGGCGTGAAAGGTATCCCAATTACCGTCATCCCCAGCCCACTCTACCTCAACTCAACCTCTCATGTCAATAAACAGGGCATTAGACTCTTGACCAACTACGTTTATTTACTGAAATCTTACTAAATGACAGTTTCCAGAATTTTTTGGCGTAATTCTTAATCAATTTTTGCTGTATTAAGATTTTAAATTACAACTTTTATTTTGAAGTTCTTAAGTGAAGGTATATCAAGAAATTTTCATTATATTCATTATAGTATTGCAAAAACGTATTTTTTGACAATTTTTAAAGCTTTCTGTAAGAATCTTTTTGGGTAATTTAGATCATACACTGTTTGATAAATCTTCAGTATTTTCTCATCTATGAACTCAGGACTGCTAACGCGCAATGGCGGAAACATTGGACGTGTTGCCTTACACCGGTTGTCTATCATCACCCATCAGTAAAAATGGGTACCTGGGTGTTAGTGGACTGGTGTGGGTCGCATCCTGGGGCATAACTGACCTAATTTTCCCGAAATGCTCAGCATAACAAGCGGCTTTTTATATAGTAGTATGTCACTGATGTCAGCTATGGTCTGTATACCTTGTACATGTACTGGTGGAAAATAAAGAAATTATTATAATTAGCTTTCAGGGCCCTGGAGAGGCTTACAAAACATGTAACTCTCTCATGATGTGATTAATAATATTGTACATAAGAAGAGTTATTAGTTTGTTTTCTGTATATGTTGAATTTATACTCTTGGATCCTTTTAATAATTAAAATATCAAAAAATAGCAATGAATTACTTTGTTCAGACTCAACAGTAAACTTTATGGATGGAGTTAGACATTGAATTGCAGTAGGAATTGGTTTATATCTGTTTTATTGGCAATTAATCATAGAATGTCATTTACATATCTGTACCACTTAGCATTAAGAGAAAGAAATCTGTTAAGTTGTCTGGTTTAAATAAAATTATGTACAAATTGCTAATAACTAGTGAGAGAGGATTTCCCATTGCCATTCCAATTTTTTATTGAAAAATTCATCATTAAACACAAGTTTTGCACTGGCTTAGAATTTTTCACAAGCAGAGAATATTTAACTCATAACAGAGTTAATGTTCTGTGTTCTCCTACATGTTCTTCAGATCTTTTTTCACATTAGTAGCCCAGAGTACATAATTGGGGAAATATTCAAGATTTATGTAATAGCATATTATCTAAAGTTTCCAAAAAATGTTTCGTTGAAAGATCTTTAACAATTGCTAGAAATACATTTTCAACCCCCCCCCCCCCAAAAAAAAAAAAAAAAAAAAATTTGCTTCTGCCACATCAAGATACTTCTTCTCTACTTATAAACTTCAAAATTCAAGTTGTATTTAAAAATCTTGATACAATGAAAAGCGATTAAGTATTGCTCAGAAAATGCTGATATTTGCGTCCATAAGATTCCCTCTACAATATGACATTATAAATAGGCAAGTGTCTAATATTCTGTTTATTAGAGTAAGAGTTTTAACCACAATATTGAATTTTAAAAAACTGAGAAGATTGTGTCAAGTAAATCCATAGCTGAAAGAAATATAACAGAATCGATTTGTACACAAACAAGTATTTGTTGCAATACGAATGTAAGTCCAGGATTACATAAATTAGTTTCATTAATAAGGAATAAAATTTGTGGGGATTATAAGCTTCACCTGGAATGTCACTCATAAATTTTAGTGGCATGTGATATGTCTAAAAAATTTACAAAAACAAAAAGGAGGCCACAAGCTTGTGAGGTCACAAGTGAGGTCATATGTGAGGTCAGAAAGAGGTTTATACTTTAGTCTTTGAGGCCACAATGAGTCATATTGTGGGTCACAAGTGAGGTCTTTCGTTGAGTCTTATGAGGGCACAATTAGTCATATGTGAGGTCACGGTGAGGTCACAAGTCAGGTTATGCTTCATAAGTTTTATTGTTGTCATATTGATAAGGGGGAGAAAACACACACCACACACACACACACACACACAACACACACACACACACACACACACACACACACACACACACAACACACACACACACACTCACATACACACACACAAACACACACACACACACACACACGGCATGGAAGACAGCAAAGGTAGTCCCAATCTTTAAAAAAGGAACAGACATGAAGCATTAAAACTACAGACCAGTGTCTCCCGGGCATGTATAGTATGCAAAAAACATGGAGAAGATTATCAGGAGAAGAGTGGTGGAACACCTAGAAAAGGGAAAGATCTCATCAACAGCAGCCAACAAAGGTTTCAGACACGGGAAATCCTGTGTCACAAACCCACTGGAGTTCTATGACATGGTGACAGCAGTAAGACAAGAGAGAGAGGGGTGGGTGGATTGCATATTTCTTGGACTGCAAGAAGACGTTTGACACAGTTCCACACAAGAGATTGGGGCAAAAACTGGAGGACCAAGCAGGGATAACAAGGAAGGCACTACAAGGTCAGGGATACTTGTCAGGAAGACAGCAGCGAGTCATGGTACGCGGCGAGGTGTCAGAGTGGGCACCTGTGACCAGCGGGGTCCCACAGGGGTCAGTCCTAGGACCAGTGCTGTTTCTGGTATTTGTGAACGACATGACGGAAGGAATAGACTCTGAGGTGTCCCTGTTTGCAGATGACGTGAAGTTGATGGAGAAGAATTCACTCGATCGAAGACCAGGCAGAAAATACAAAGGGATCTGGACAGGCTGCAGACCTGGGGCCAGCAATTGGCTCCTGGGGTTCAACCCCCCAAGTGCAAAGTCATGAAGATTGGGGAAGGGCAAAGAAGACCGCAGACGGAGTACAGTTAGGGGGCCCTGAGACTTTCAAACCTCACTCAAGGGAAAAAAGATCTTGGGTGAGTATAACACCAGGCATCTCCTGAAGCGCACGTCAACCAAAAACTGCTGCAGCTATGGGCGCCTAGCAAACCTCAGAACAGCATTCCGACATTTTTAATAAGGAATCGTTCAGGCCCTGTACACCGTGTACGTTAGGCCCATATTGGAGTATGCGGCACCAGTTTGGAACCCACACCTAGCCAAGCACGTAAGAAACTAGAGAAAGTGCAAAGGTTTGCAACAAGACTATCCAGACTAAGAGGTAGTCCTACGAGGAGAGGTTAAGGGGAAAAATTCAACCTACACACTGGAGGAAGGAGAGATAGGGGGGCTGATAACGACATACAAAATACGAAGGAATTGACAAGGGGGAAAAAAGACAGGATGTTCCCGAGATTGGGCACAGTAAAAAGGGGCACAGTTGGAAGTTGAAGAACAGATGAAACAAGGATTTAGGAAATTTTCTTCACCACAATGTCAGTAAGTGGATAGTTTTGGGAACGATGAGGGAGGCAGGGTCCATACATAGCTTTTTAAACAGAGGTTATAAAGCTCACGGTTTAGGAGAGTGATAGTAGCGATCAGTGAAGAGGCGGGGGCCCGGGGCTCGGACTCGACCCCCCCAACCTCAATAGGTGGTAAAAACACACACCCAAACCACCCCACACACACACACACACAAACCACACAAAAAACACACACACACAACACACATACACACACAACACCAAAAAAAAAAAAAAAAAAAAAAAACAAAAAAAAAAAAAAAAAAACATATATATATAATATATATATTATATAATAGGGGTCCCCCTTTGGGTGTAAATTGGGGGCCCCCACAGCTGGGAGAAGTGGAAAAAAAGGTTCAAGAAGAATATTTGGTTTTCTTCCTAAGCCACTTGAAATTCCCTTCCTCTACCACCCCTTTTTTTTTAAAAAATATTTTTTTACCAATAGGAATATTTTATTACATAATATGGTACGAAATTTAAGAGATACATTGTTGATATAAAGGTGGCATATACGGTCCCATGTTGTTACGTGTGTATCACCGATTATAAGGCGAATATCTCATCCAGCTCCTCAGAACTGGAGCAGGGTGCCCAGAATACGCAGGCATTACCCCTTTGAACAGCCACATTGAGCCGCTGGAACAGAAAACTAGCTGCCTGGGATCCCTAGTTACCCTGATGAGTCTTTTTCCAGCTCCTTAAGGAATTTAGATGCACTCTTTCCCCATGACCAAGGGTCTCTGACCCTATGGGAACAAACATATAATGATGGGCAAGTTCTCCATATTTTCTAGACTTTGGGACTCCCTGAAGCTGGCAGCTGCCCCTCCTTCCTCCCGGTGTATTGGAGATAGGTATCAGCCAATGTAGATGCACATGTATAGCCCCCACACCACCTGCTTTCCATCTGTCCAGGCTTGAAGGGTGATACCATCTGGACGCCTTCTGGCTGCCATCAGATCTGCATAGTTGGGGTGGCTCCCTTACTGCGGGGCATCCGCTGTTGTGAGGCTTATCTTGATAATGTTATTAACCTCCTAAATGTCTTGCAATCTTTCCCTCGGATTTACGGCACACAAGACCATGGTACCCGAATCGGTCCGCTGCTTCACTGCCACAAATACACCTGTGTTCGGCGAGAATAGGTGCGGCAAGTCGAAGGGCAACACCGATGCGGATGGTCTGTGGGTCGAGGCGTGTGCCAAGGCTGGAGTTGGGAACAGCCAACAGAAAGTCCCCAGCATGAGGGGCTCTCACTGCCAGGAAGAGGGCTCTATCCTTCCCTGACACACTCTGAAGAATTGTTGAGGCTATATTTTCCACTTTTGGCCCATCCAGTGCGTTTGTTTGTAGTTT